TTCTCGTTCCTCGGTCGTGATTCTCGTTCCTCAATCGTGACTCTCAATCATCAATCGTGATTCTCAATCATCAGTCTTCTTTCTTAATCCTAGCAATCCGTCATTCTCAATCATCAGTCGATTTCTCAACAGGCAGTTGCAAACTCAATCACTTTTGAATGGTATGGCTTGCCATACCCTCACGTCCCCCCACGCATACTCGAAACTCGGAACTCGGAACTCGGAACTCGGAACTCGGAAGTCAGAAGTCGGAAGTCGGAACTCGGAAGTGACCCTCCTCGGCCATCGTAAGCTCTAATTGTTATCGTTGATTTCTCACAGTTCGCAAAGGGGACTACTTCGAGGGAAGCAAGATGAGGTTTCTTCGGAGCTTGGTCTTTCATAGTTCATCCCCTCCTGGGCGTTTTTTCTCTACAGCAGGATGTCTTTATTCTCAAGTGAATAAGGTATATATAAACAAGAAATAGACAGATTCGATGCAAAATGTTTTTCATCTGCAGCAAGAACACTTAGCATGTTTCTTACGCAAACTCCAGAATGTTCTTTGCAGAAGTTTTCATCTCTAATTTACAATAGGTCTAATAAGCCTTTTCATAGTTTAAGAATCGATTCCACTGCGCATGCGATTTTATCCCGAATTTCTCACCTTCTTTTGTCTAAACCTTCTTTTGTTCTTAATTAAACAAAAGAAGGTGAGAAATTCGGGATAAAATCGCATGCGCAGTGGAATCGATTCTTAAACTATGAAAAGGCTTATTGTCTGATATTGTTTTTATTCCTATTTTTTTATTTGTTTTGTTTTGTTTCGCATACGAGATATAGGATAAAGGGCGCTTTATGTGTCGCTACGCGTACGATCCAGGCGCATAACCTTGCATACAAAAGAGTCACGAACCTGATTATATAGGCTCAGGATGTTTTTATGCATATAAGGTCCTAATATATGGAGAAAAGTTGTGTTGGGGACCTGGGACAGCCCTCCCCCAAGTAACAACTTTACATAACGTTTACATGGAGTTTCACTTAGCTTAATTCTCCAGGAAAACATGGGTCTCATAAAGCTAAGCTCAAATGAAAATTTTTGTCCCCCAGCAGGTTGTAAGGCCATGCATTTGAATAACACTACAGGAAGCCCAGCATTTGTAATTTATCAAATCAACTCTCACAATTCCTATCAGTCTCTGATATTTAACCATTTCCCATTATCTAGGTAGCTATTTTCTATTGAAATAATTGTATATTGTTCATATGTATAGTAAATTCTGTGTTGTTTTTTCAGTCTATGACAATTATTTGTTATAGCAGTAGCCACATGGGCTTATATTGAGCACAGATTTTCATTGGGTCAGGCTATAATATAGAGTTGAAGAAGGGCTGAATTATTATTATGTTAGTGTGCGAGAAAATTTCATGTTTGAACTGTCTCCCAAGGGAGAGGGGGTCAGATGGGTTACACCACTAGCCCACTTCCCCGATAAAAAGTGAACAGTCCCTAAGGGTGCAGACAAGCAGCTGATGGAGTAACCTTATTAATTGACAAAACATTCTTTGAATTTTCAATTCTTAGAAACAAAGGTTAATAATATCTTTGTTCAAGTGGTCCTGGTTAGTGTATCTGCACTGTAAGTTCCAAGAGCAACAGTATCTGGCATTAGTTAAGTAAAATATTGTCTTACAACTTACAGTGCAAACACACTAAATGTCACCACTTGAACAAAATTTAAGATACTTTAAGAAAATAATAAGCCCATCGTGAGAGAGCAAAATCAGTATCATATTGACCTCAGGTAATTGCATTCTCTCATTCCCTTGGTTGTTAATAACGTTTAAGTTTTTTTCTTAAATATTTCTAGGCTTTAATTTGTTGTTTGTTCCTGATTGGTTCAAGTTTGACGTTGAGATTGATTCCTTTGTTTTCATTCAATGTTGTGATTGGTTAACTTTCTTCGAGTTTGTCCACACAGTAAATATGTATACTGAATTCCTAATTAGGCTCTTCGWGTACAAATTGAAAAGATGGAATCAGGAAAAGGAGTAGAGATAGAATGGCAAAGTGGAGAAAAAAGCAGGTGAAAATTTCACCAAAGTACATATTGTGTTCATTTTAGTTCATTTATCTTCTTATCTTTCTTATTTATTTCATTTCATTTTTAAATTTTATTCAACTGCTTTATACTGTTATTTTATTTTATTTCATTTTTAGCTTTTTTTTGGAGCAAAAATCAATTTCTAAATTCCAATTTGAACTCTAGTGGATGAAGAGCCACTATCTGAAAATGCTACTGCTAATTAAATCTTATTTATTTATCATTCATATTTATTCACTATTTATATCCCATTTTCTGTTCTATTCTGTTTCCTTTCATTTTTTGAGTGTTTTTTTTTTTAATTCCTTTTTTCCTTTTCTACATCTCAATAATCTTTATTCCTTATTACATAATATCTTATCATCATCATCATTGTTGTTGTTGTTGTTGTCATATACACGTCTATATCTTTATTTATTTGGAGACTTCCATCATGCTTGACAACAATAAAATAACCATGCAAACAAGCATGATGAGGGGCAGGCAAGCAGACTCTAAGGTCCCAGCAAGGCGTGCCCCTAATGGTCTTGCTGATCTCAATGAATATGCTAAATGGATCATCTTTGGTTTCATGTCAGATTCCACAGCAGTTGGTTAAGGATGAATTGTCAGTGTAGCAAGTGTTCACAAGGACACAGCGGTCAGAGAAAACTTAATGTTGCTAAGCTTCCAGAGAACATTTCTCTTGCACACGTTGATATTTCAGGTACTAAAGAATTCTCCTCCACAGGCTATGTTTGATGGTTATAATGGTATATTATTAATGTACTTTTGGAAAATATTGATACTTTACTCATGGGAAGGGTGACCCTAAGGACAGTATATTTTATAATTCCAAACGATATCGATACATCCCCCATGGGGCAAGAGGGGAATTGGAACAGGGTTCATGCAGGTCCTTAAACTCCTTGAAAAGTGCTGGAATTTAAAATGCATTTTCAAGGGCACTTGAAAATCCTTGAAAATAGAAAAAAAGTAGAAATGTCCTTGAATACTCCTCACCTTGAAAAAAATTGTCCATAAATACATGTCAGTAAAACTTTCAAGATATGTAAACCGCGAGTCGTTGTCATTGGTTAAAATTAGAGATTTTCATTACGTCTCGGGGATGTTTCCAGAACTTAGTGGCTCAATGTGGTGTGGATATCACGTGACAAATTCGCACATCTTGATTAGCATTGGCATTTTCTTCACTTTTTTTGATACCAAAATAAAACCCTCTTAAGCGTTACTCCTATGAAAAATGTCATTTTGGTCCTTGAATACTCCTTGAAAACTCCTTGAATAATTTCTTGGGAACCTAGCACGAACCCTGTTGGAATTTCCATGGGGTTGGAAAGGTCTACGGATGGTATGTGCATAAACTAAAGTTCTTTGAGATTACCAAATCTTCAATACCCTATGGAAGAGGATTGGAGTTTTAAAGGCTTGAGTGGTCACAGTCTGAGGAAGGTATATTATGTAGTTCCAGAAAATATTCATACCTTCCCCATGGAGGGGATTGGAATTTCCAAGGGGATAGGAGGGTATATTGCATTAAGTTTCATAAAATACCATGCCTTTGTCATTGATTTTCAAAGGTCTTAGTGATTTTGAGGTGAGTTTTAAGTTTCTTTTTTTTCCCTTCCTGTAGAATCATCATTTGTTTTAAAAGTATCATGGAAGAATGAGGAAGAGCACACAAGTGTTTTTCCATTAGATTGGTTAAAACAACACTCCTACTCTAGACAGGATATTGAAAGGCAAAGTGTGCAACGAAAATTCCAAGCTTTCCAAGGGGTGGGTATATTATTGTGTCATTCTTTCTCACTGATACAAGATTGGTTCAAGTTAAAGAAACTATAAACCTTTAAAAACAGTAGAATAACAAACGTAAAAAAAGGAAAATTATTATCAGAATTTTTTTTTTAACTAAAAGTAACTGATCTGGGAAAAATCCATTTTTACAACTTTATTTGGTTGGTGGCCTGTGCTAGGTTCAAGTGATGGTTAAATAATGCAATCATTCCTAAGAGAGTCAAATGGGAAAGACATAACTGCCAATTGTTGGTGGTATTAACAGTGGAAACTATTGAGAAACCTTTTGTTAAAAAACATCACCAACTATAACAAATTTCATTCAGTTCATTGTTTTATGAAAGTCTTCTTATTTTTTTAATTTGGAACTTATGCTTCTTGTCGTTATACAGAAAGACATTCCCTCTGTCAATTACCATGATATTGTAAACACAGACTCTGGGCTGTTGGAGTAAGTGACATTAATGAAAAATATGTGTGCAATATGTTAAATACTAGTGAAATCTACAATAAGCTGAACACCTGTAAGTGTGATGCACCCTATGCAAGCCTATAGACAAGCTGTACCCATAGAAAGACCACACCCATAGATAGGCCACACCTATAGACAAAATGTACCCATAGGTCACACCCATAGACAATATGCACACCCAATAATATTAAAGCTGTGACTATACGGGGACCATGGAGCTAGAGGGGGTCAGTGGCAATATTTCTTCCACCATTTTTGATTTATTTGCTTATTTTCTATTTTATACAAAATTCAGTATTTTGAAGAGAATTCTGAAATATTGGCGCTCCCAATCCAAAACTCACTCAGCAGCATGATGAGCTGGAGAGCCCATTTTACGGTAAACAGCATGTAGTCTTGGTTGCTACAGATAATAGTTAATCTGATTTCCGTGATGTCAAGATGACGAATGCCAGGCAAAAACATCAAGCATCTGTAAATATGCCTACACTCGATCTATTTAGAGTTATAAACCAAGTC